TAGAACTGAACTAGAACTGAACTAGAACTGAACTAGAACTGAACTAGAACTGAACTAGAATCTGAACTAGAACTGAACTAGAACTGAACTAGAACTGAACTAGAACTGAACTAGAACTGAACTAGAACTGAACTAGAACTGAACTAGAACTGAACTAGAACTGAACTAGAACTGAACTAGAACTGAACTAGAACTGAACTAGAACTGAACTAGAACTGAACTAGAACTGAACTAGAACTGAACTAGAACTGAACTAGAACTGAACTAGAACTGAACTAGAACTGAACTAGAACTGAACTAGAACTGAACTAGAACTGAACTAGAACTGAACTAGAACTGAACTAGAACTGAACTAGAACTGAACTAGAACTGAACTAGAACTGAACTAGAACTGAACTAGAACTGAACTAGAACTGAACTAGAACTGAACTTGAACTTGAACTGAACTTGAACTGAACTTGAACTGAACTAGAACTGAACTAGAACAGAAGTAGAACAGAACTAGAACAGAACTAGAACAGAACTAGAACAGAACTAGAACAGAACTAGAACAGAACTAGAACAGAACTAGAACAGAACTAGAACAGAACTAGAACTGAACTAGAACTGAACTAGAACTGAACTAGAACTGAACTAGAACTGAACTAGAACTGAACTAGAACTGAACTAGAACTGAACTAGAACTGAACTAGAACTGAACTTGAACTGAACTTGAACTGAACTTGAACTGAACTAGAACTGAACTAGAACAGAAGTAGAACAGAACTAGAACAGAACTAGAACAGAACTAGAACAGAACTAGAACAGAACTAGAACAGAACTAGAACAGAACTAGAACAGAACTAGAACAGAACTAGAACTAGAACAGAATTAGAACAGAACTAAAACAGAACTAGAACAGAACTAGAACAGAACTAGAACAGAACTAGAACAGAACTAGAACAGAACTAGAGCAGAGCTAGAACTGAACTAGAACTGAACTAGAACTGAACTAAAACTGAACTAGAACTCAACTAGAACTGAAATAGAACTGAAATAGAACTGAACTAGAACTGAACTAGAACTAAACTAGAACAGAACTAAAACAGAACATAACTAGAACTGAACTAGAACTTAAATAGAACTGAACGACCTCCTAACTTGTCTATGCCCTGTTCTGTTGACTAGTCTAGTACTGAATTTTCCATCTCTGTACTAACAATTCTTAGTTTGGTTTTTAAAGTTAAAAGAAGAAAATAACAAGACCACAAACATACTAAATACAACAACAGTATGTGGGGAGCACGATTTCTATAAATTAACATATTTGTGTGTACGCGTGTAACTCGATTTATTTTTAATGCAATTGCGGTAGTATGATGAAAGAAGCTTAAAGAGTGGGGAGTTTAGTATTGAAAAAAAATCCTTTTAACTTTTAATAAAGTTGCCAGATGATTAATCTAATTATATAATTACTTTTACGGGTTATTGCTATAACTTCCAAGATACTTAACAGATTTATACAAATTTAAAAGAAGTTCAGAAAATTTCTGGAATTTTTAAAAATGTTAAAATAATTTTCGAAAGTGTTGCCATCAAGTTTTTTTATAGCGATCTAGTTATTTAAACATTTTTCTTGCTAAACAAATTTCTATTCATAATCCTTTTAATTACTTTTGCAAAAAAAAAAAAATCCAAAATTTTTATTTACACATGTAAATTTTTTATTTACTTTTAATTTGGCCACAATAAATAATGGTTTTTGGTTTCAAAACACCCAGTAAGTATCATACTCACTACAACATCTCTTCATGTTTTCCACCCTCAGTGGGTGTTTCATACTACTTTGCTGGCAATTAAGAAATTCCCAACATTTAAAATATTTTAAAAGGGTTTTCATGTTGTTCTATGGAAGTTTAACAAATTTATGGTTGAGTCTACTAAGGATACAAGTTTGTGTATCCTTAACTTGTTGTAGTAGCTTAAGTTTATTTAAAAGTATGTATTTAAACAAAAGTATCCATGTACTAATTTTATTTTTTGTTTGGTTTTATTAGATCAATTATTGTAAATATTTATTTAAATAATAAACAAATAACATGAGAGAATAAAAAATAAGATACTTTTTTTCAAGTTAGTAGTTTTTCTATTGGGGTCTGGTACTTATGTTTGGTATGTGGGAATATTTATTTTATAACATTTTTGTTTGGTTGATAAGATAACTTTTATAAAAAAGCAATTTGTTTATGAATTTAAATAAACATTTTTAGCAAATATTTTTGTGATTCACAAAAAAAAAAAAATAATAGGAAAACTTAATATTTGTAAAATAGCAAATTTAGAAAGTCATAATTTCATTACATTTCAGAACATAACTAAAACTAGAACACAACTAGAACTGGACCAGGGCCAGAACAGAACATAAACGGAACTAGAACAGAACTAGAACAGAACTAGAACAGAACTAGAACAGAACTAGAACAGAACTAGAACAGAACTAGAACAGAACTCGAATAGAACTAGAACAGAATTGAACTAGAACTGTACTAGAACTGAACTAGAACTGAACTAGAACTGAACTAGAACTGACCTAGAACTGAAGTAGAACTGAACTAGAACTGAACTAGAACTCAACATAAACGGAACTAGAACGGAACTAGAACAGAACTAGAATAGAACTAGAACAGAACTAGAATAGAACTAGAACAGAACTAGAACAGAACTAGAACAGAACTAGAACAGAACTAGAACAGAATTGAACTAGAACTGAACTAGAACTTAACTAGAACTGTACTAGAACTGAACTAGAACTGAACTAGAACTGAACTAGAACTGAAACTAGAACTGAACTAGAACTGAACTAGAACTGAACTAGAACGGAACTAGAACTGAACTAGAACTGAACTAGAACTGAACTAGAACTGAAGCTAGAACTGAACTAGAACTGAACTAGAGAACTGAACTAGAACTGAACTAGAACTGAACAGAACTGAACTAGAACTGAACTAGAACTGAAACTAGAAACTGAACTAGAACTGAACTAGAACTGAACTAGAACTGAACTAGAACTGAACTAGAACTGAACTAGAACTGAACTAGAACTGAACTAGAACTGAACTAGACTGAACTAGAAACTGAACTAGAACTGACTAGAACTGAACTAGAACTGAACTAGAACTGAACTAGACTACTAGAACTGAACTACTGGAAACTAGAACTGAACTAGAAATGAACTAGAAACTGAACTAGAAACTGAACTAGAACTGAACTAGAACTGAACTAGAACTGAACTAGAAAACTGAAGTAGAACTGAACGAGAACTGAACGAGAACTGAACTAGAACTGAACTAGAACTGAACTAGAACTAAGAGACGGAACTAGAACTAGAACTGAACTAAGAACTGAACTAGAACTGAACTAGACTGAACTAGAACTGAACTAGAACTGAACTAGAACTGAACTAGAACTGAACTAGAACTGAACTAGAACTGAACTAGAACTGAACTAGAACTGAACTAGAACTGAACTAGAACTGAACTAGAACTGAACTAGAACTGAACTAGAACTGAACTAGAACTGAACTAGAACTGAACTAGAACTGAACTAGAACTGAACTAGAACTGAACTAGAACTGAACTAGAACTGAACTAGAACTGAACTAGAATGAACTAGAACTGAACTAGAACTGAACTAGAACTGAACTAGAACTGAACTAGAACTGAACTAGAACTGAACTAGAACTGAACTAGAACTGAACTAGAACTGAACTAGAACTGAACTAGAACTGAACTAGAACTGAACTAGAATTGAACTAGAACTGAACTAGAACTGAACTAGAACTGAACTAGAACTGAACTAGAACTGAACTAGAACTGAACGAGAACTGAACTAGAACTGAACTAGAACTGAACTAGAACTGAACTAGAACTGAACTAGAACTGAACTAGAACTGAACTAGAACTGAACTAGAACTGAACTAGAACTGAACTAGAACTGAACTAGAACTGAACTAGAACTGAACTAGAACTGAACTAGAACTGAACTAGAACTGAACTAGAACTGAACTAGAACTGGACTAGAACTGGACTAGAATTGAACTAGAACTGAACTAGATCTGAACTAGAACTGAACTAGAACTGAACTAGAACTGAACTAGAACTGAACTAGAACTGAACTAGAACTGAACTGAACTGCAACAGAACTAGAACAGAACTATATACGAGTGTCGATGGGAGAAATCCATTTTTATAAATTTTTTAACCTTTGTAGCCCTGTGTAATTATTACTTTTCAGTAATATTTGTTTATTAAAAATGTAGTACATATTTATTTTGAGTGTATATATTCAATTGTTTGTGTGTATTTAACTTGTTACAAAAACAAACATTTATTTCTATATAATTTGTTTCCTTTTTAGTAATTTCATTTAATATTTCAAGTGTTTCTTTTGAATATTTTTTTTTATTTATATTTTCTAACAACATTTGACGGTGTAGATAGATGGTTTGTCATCATTTTGAAAAGAATGTAGCAACAACTTTTGTCGAGGCGCGTGTTTGGCATACACAAATGAATTGAACTTAAAACAGAGAGAAACAAAATACAAAAATTTTCCTTAAATGGTGGGGTTTTTCTGTTAAGATCAGTCAGTAGTAGCAGCTATAGTGCATATTGAATATTTAATGAAAATTTTAAAATAAAATGTAATTAAAAATACATAGATGGCAGGGGCTTAGTTGCTTTGATATATACTTTATAGCAAGTTTAACTAAGGTATTCGCTAAATGCTCAAAAGTAATTGCTTTTTAAAGGTGTTTCTTCTTGATGTTTTAAAAGCGGGGGCTGAGGAAGTAACACCTTAAAGCCAAAATATGGAGAAGAGTTTAAAACGATTTAAGTAAGGACTTGTTGTAAGGTATATCTCGCTCAAGTTGAAATTATTGAAACGTTTTATACGACAATTGGTAAAACAATTGTTTAGACTCTTTTAGATTTAAATATATTCTAAATTTCATAACTTACCTTGACTTTTATTTCCACACTTAGTCTGCTGTCTTAGATATATTTTAATATCTTTCACTTTAATTACTTTATAATAAACTGTAATTAGTTTTCTTTAGTATGAATAATTTTTATTTTTTATAATTTATTTAGCTGTTAAAGTTTTTTGTTGTTTTGCTCTTGAACTTTAGCAACGCTAATTTAATTCCTTTTTAATGCTGGCATCGCCCACTTAAACTTTATGTAGCAAATAAATCTTTTGTAGTAAATCCTTGGACAATTGTTAATGATAAGGAGGTTGTTGTTTTTGTTTTCTACTTTATGAATTAATCGATTTTTGTTTAAGACCAACTGAAAGATAGATTTAAAAGACAATTTGAACTGAACTAGAATGAACTAGAACTGAACTAGAACTGAACTAGAACTGAACTAGAACTGAACTAGAACTGAACTAGAACTGAACTAGAACTGAACTAGAACTGAACTAGAACTGAACTAGAACTGAACTAGAACTGAACTAGAACTGAACTAGAACTGAACTAGAACTGAACTAGAATGAACTAGAACTGAACTAGAACTGAACTAGAACTGAACTAGAACTGACTAGAACTGAACTAGAACTGAACTAGAACTGAACTAGAACTGAACTAGAACTGAACTAGAACTGAACTAGAACTGAACTAGAACTGAACTAGAACTGAACTAGAACTGAACTAGAACTGAACTAGAACTGAACTAGAACTGAACTAGAACTGAACTAGAACTGAACTAGAACTGAACTAGAACTGAACTAGAACTGAACTAGACTGAACTAGAACTGAACTAGAACTGAACTAGAACTGAACTAGAACTGAACTAGAAACTGAACTAGAACTGAACTAGAACTGAACTAGAACTGAACTAGAACTGAACTAGAACTGAACTAGAACTGAACTAGAACTGAACTAGAACTGAACTAGAACTGAACTAGAACTGAACTGAACTAGAACTGAACTAGAACTGAACTAGAACTGAACTAGAACTGAACTAGAACTGAACTAGAACTGAACTAGAACTGAACTAGAACTGAACTAGAACTGAACTAGAACTGAACTAGAACTGAACTAGAACTGAACTAGAACTGAACTAGAACTGAACTAGAACTGAACTAGAACTGAACTAGAACTGAACTAGAACTGAACTAGAACTGAACTAGAACTGAACTAGAACTGAACTGAACTGAACTGGAACTGAACTAGATCTGAACTAGAACTGAACTAGAACTAGAACTGAACTAGAACTGAACTAGAACTGAACTAGAACTGAACTAGAACTGAACTAGAACTGAATTAGAACTAGATCTGAACTAGAACTGAACTAGAACTGAACTAGAACTGAACTAGAACTGAACTAGAACTGAACTAGAACTGAACTAGAACTGAACTAGAACTGAACTAGAACTTTTTATTTACCTTTACTTTATTTAGAAGTTATCCTTTAGATATTTTGGTATCTTTTGAGTAATTTAGATCACTTGTTGAAGATTTGGAAAAAATATATTCATTTATAATCCAAAGTATAAGAATTAAATTTGAAAGATTTTACCACTTTTATTTATTTTTAAGTAAATTTTTGATTATTCAAATTTATATCTTTCAGATACTTTTATATGTTTTGATCTTTGTTTAATAATTAGGGTTTAACACTTTTTGGCAATTTTTTGATTTTTTTAAACTTTTATAACATAACTTTTTTTCTAATTTTATCTTATAGATACTTTTGTATCCTTTGCTGCAAATAAAACACTTTTTTATGTGTTCTTTACTTAAAATATTTTGTACACTTTTTTTTAATTTTTATCAGTTAGATTCTTTTGTATCTTTTGTTTGATATTTTACACTTTTTTATATTTTATTTATGATATTAAATATTATCTATGATTTTTTTATTATTTATGTCGATTTTTTTAATTAATATCTTTCAGATACTTTTATATCTTTTGTTTAAAATTTTGCTGTTTTGAACATTTATTTAGATTTTTTATTTTGATTTAGCTATTGTGTTGTTTATGCAGCATTTAATTTTCTACAAAGAAAAAAAAATCAAATAATTATTACATTTTTTTTTTCATAAAAATATTTAAATAATATAAGTTATAAGACACTTTAGAGTGCATATTTATTATCTTAAATATACTTTCGAAATACTTTACTTTGCTATTGTTATTCTTAGGAAATTTGTTGTTGCATTATTTTTTAAAAAACTCTTGCTAAGGCTTTCTTTATATTTTTAATTTAATTTTTTGTGCAAATTTCTTTTAAATATTGTTTTAAATTTACCAGAATTTTTTATATTATTGAGCAAATAAGTATATTCTTCTTTCATTACTGTTTTTATGTAAAAACCTAAATTTTTATTTAGAATATTTGTGGGTTTAAAAGTCATTTAATTGTTTGTGGTTTTTGGTAAATATTTTAAATAGACCATTTTATTTTATTGTTTTAATTAAAAAAGTAACATTTGGAATCAATTCTGGTATAGCTACTTGATTATTTTGAGGCAAAAGGTTAGCGATTAGCGATAGAATTGGACATCTTCTCTATTACCTAATATTTATGTGTTTAACGAAATAACTAAACTATAGACTAGACTATAGACTAGACGATAGACTAGACTATAGACTAGACTAGACATAGACTAGACTATAGACTAGACTATAGACTAGACTAGACTATAGACTAGATCTAGATAGACTATAGACTAGACTATAGACTAGACTATAGACTAGACTTATAGGACTAGGACTATAACTAGACTATAGACTAGACTCTAGACTAGAACTATAGGACTAGACTATAGACTAGACTATAGACTAGACTATAGACTAGACTATTAGACTAGACTATAGACTAGACTATAGGACTAGACTATAGGACCTAGACTATAAGGACTAGACTATAGGACTAGACTATCGGACTAGACTATAGACTAGACTATAGACTAGATATAGACTAGACTATAGACTAGATATTTAGACTAGACTATAGACTAGGAACTATAGGACTAGGACTATCGACTAGACTATAGACTAGACTATAGACTAGACTATAGACTAGACTATAGACTAGACTATAGACTAGACTATAGACTAGACTATAGACTAGACTATAGACTAGACTATAGACTAGACTATAGACTAGACTATAGACTAGACTATAGACTAGACTATAGACTAGACTATAGACTAGACTATAGACTAGACTATAGACTAGACTATAGACTAGACTATAGACTAGACTATAGACTAGACTATAGACTAGAGACTAGACTATAGACTAGACTAGACTATAGACTAGACTAGACAATAGACTAGACAATAGACTAGACAATAGACTAGACTATAGACTAGACTATAGACTAGACTATAGACTAGACTATAGACTAGACTATAGACTAGACTATAGACTAGACTATAGACCAAACTATAGACTAGACTATAGACTAGACTATAGACTAGACTATAGAGTAGACTATAGACTAGACTATAGACTAGACTATAGACTAGACTATAGACTAGACTATAGACTAGACTATAGACTAGACTATAGACTAGACTATAGACTAGACTATAGACTAGACTATAGACTAGACTATAGACTAGACTATAGACTAGACTATAGACTAGACTATAGACTAGACTATAGACTAGACTATAGACTAGACTATAGACTAGACTATAGACGAGACTATAGACTAGACTATAGACGAGACTATAGACTACTAGACTAGACTATACTAGACTATATACTAGACTATAGACTAGACTATAGACTAGACTATAGACTAGACTATAGACTAGACTATAGACTATAGACTAGACTATATACTAGACTATATACTAGACTATATACTAGACTATATACTAGACTATAGACTAGACTATAGACTAGACTATAGACCAGACTATAGACTAGACTATAGACAATACTATAGATTTGTAGACTAGACTATAGACTGCGATAACGAAATCTGATGACTATAATGAAATATCTTTAAGATACTTTAACTTTTTTTGATTTAGTATCTCTCAGATACTTTTGTATCTTTTAGCTTAATAAACACTTTTTTCGCAAGAAACTTCAACAGTTTTGATAATATTTAATGTTAAATAGTTAAACAATAGAAATATATATAAATTTTTTTAAATATTTTTAATCCTTGAGATATTTTTATAACTTTTTTTTTAATGTTTATATTAGAAAATGTTTGTTGTTTTAAATATTATTTTTTTGTAGGATTTTTATTATTTTTTATATTTTCTTAGATTTTTTAAATAATTTTTGTAACAATTTTATAAAATATCTTTTAGATACTTTTAGTATTTCAAGCACTTTTTTAAGAAATTTTGTTACTTAATAATAAAATTTTAAGAAATTATTATTTTTTTTAACTAAAATTACACTTAGAGACGTGTTTTAAAGAAATATCTTTAAGATACTTTTGTAGCTTTCACTATAAAAATCACTTTTAAGGCAGAATTTTGCCTAGATTTTAATTTTGTAGAAAAAACATTATTCAAATTTTCAATTATCAAAGTTAATTTAGATACTTTTTTATGTAAATTTTTTATTTTCATTTTAATATTTTTTTTTTTAATTTTCTTAAATTTCTTTTAAGTTTTCAAACTGGTCTAATTTTTTTTCTTTAATATTATTAAGAATATTTTAATTGTATATTAATTTCATACAAGTATCCCTTAGATACTTTTGTATCTTTCACCAAACTAAATCACATTTCTTAAACTTTTTTGTGTTTTTTTTTCTCTAAAAGTATCAATATTAAGCTTTATTTATCACAACATGTTCACAAATTAGATTTTTATTATTAGTATTTTTTTGTTGCTTTTAGGGAAGATAAATTAATAAAATATTTATTATTTCTTTTTACACACTGTGATTAATTTTCACATAACTTTTGTACAAGACACATAATTCTTCAACATTTTTGTTTGCTTATTCAATTTATTGCAGCTAAAAACAGCTTAATTTCATAATTTGTATTCTTTAGCTGAATCCTGATAACTTTGGGGATTTAAATAACTAATGTAACGAATCAGAATACAACACTAAAACACCTACAGTTAGACTTAAAGGCATTTTTGTTGAGGCCTTTAAAACAGGTTTTGCAAATGCACAAAAATACTCACTTAAACAAATTTAAAAAAAATCATAAAATATGGAAAAAAATTCGTTTTTTCCAAAAAAAAAACTTGAAACTAATTTGTTATATTTTTATCTTAAAAACATTTTCATTTAATTTTCTTATAGAAATATAAGAAATTTTTAATCTTAACGTCTTGTTAATAGAATTTTTTTATAAAAAAGCGAAACCCAAAACACACACAAACTGATTCATAGACCGGTTATAAACAAACTGATTGGAGTTGATTGTTGTGTTGAAAAACAAAAGGCGGCATACAACTACCAACCAACCAACAAACACACTAACCAACCAGCCAGACAGACAGATACTCAAGCATATTCATACACAGATACTTTTTTCGAACCCACACAAATAGCATAGCACACGTTTGGATAGAATCGTAACAGCGAAACGACAACTATACACGAAGTACAAAAACAACGAACAACACACACGTTTAGAGGAACAGGCCGCCGACTAGTTCTTCAGGGAGTAAGAGAGTAGAGGCTGCTGATTAGAACTTGTAAATTTAAAAGTGGCTTAAATCGAGGTGACAGACTAACGTACGAGCGGGTAGATGGGGGCCCAGACGTTTGAACAATAAAATTAGTTGTCCAACAACTTTAAGCGGTAAATAAAAACAAACAGAGAAACATACAAAAAAAACACACACACAAGAATTCATAGTGACAGAGAAAAAACAATAACAAATAAAAAAAAAACAACAAAATTATATACTAACTTTTTAAACAATAAAAACAACAACCACATTACAAACTTCTTCAATGATGACGTTTACCACGACCGACAGACAACATTTATTCAACAATTCATAACACGCATTATTATTGTTCAATATTCATACACAAACAATCAATCGCACAAAACTGCATCTCGTTTTTTCCGAAAACCGATTTCATCCGCTTAAAAATTACACACCATCGAACGGTTTAATATCAACTGATATAAACTGGTCTTTTCTATGGAAGTTTTTGCCACCAACGTTTGTACAACACTCACGTTTAAATGTTGACAACATTTTGTTTTTAGGTTGTATACAACCTGCCAACATGTTGCTTGTTGCCAGGTTTGATATCTTTAAGATACTTTTTGTTAGCAACAACAACAACAAGAACATAAAATAAACACAATTTTTTTAAATAAATAAAGCAACAACTACAAAAACAAATATAGAAATGCGTGTGTGTAGGTTTACTTTTAGATTTCACAACAATTTCAAAATTAATAAGACCGGGAATAGGTATAAAAGAGTACTAATTAAAAAGTACTTTTTGCAAAAGGTACTTTTATAGGGCAAAGTTCTATAGACTAACACCACTTCCATAATATTTTGAACACATTCCTAAAGAATAATAAAGTTATCGATTCAAAAAAAAAAAAAGGAAAAGATATCGCTCGATAACTTTTCTATAGAAAAGTAAAGTAATCGATCGATAAGTTTTCTATAGAATAGTAAAGTAATCGATCGATGACTTTTCTATAGAAAAGTAAAGTAATCGATATAGTTAACTTTTCTATAGAAAAATAAAGTAATCAATATAGATAACTTTTCTATAGAAAAGTAAAGTAATCGATCGATAACTTTTCTATAGAAAAGTAAAGCTCTCGATCGATAACTTTTCTATAGAAAAGTAAAGCTCTCGATCGATAACTTTTCTATAGAAAAGTAAAGCTATCGATCGATAACTTTTCTATAGA